GTGTTTTATTTTTATTTTTATTTTATTTTTTTGGAATTTTTTTCTTCCCCCAGCACACATTAATCGGTTTTCAATGCATTCCTATGGGAAATGGTGCCTCGACCTACAAACTTTTCAACTTGCAAACACTGTTCCACTACGGATTAAGTTTGTAAGTCGAGGCACCACTGTATATCTATAGGACTGTTAAATTTGTTAAATGAGCCATGGAAAGGCGAAACTTATTGCTTGTTTCATAAGTTTTTCAGGTTACTCTCACATCTTGATTCTTTTCTTCTTCTTCAAGAATGTTACTACATTTTATTACTATTTTATCCTTTTATTCTTGTTTGTATGTACTTGCATGAGATGCCACATACCATTTTATGATTGGTTTAATGTGTGTTCTTGTGTATCATCTGACGCCATGGAAAGGCGAAACTTATTGCTTGTTTCATAAGTTTTTCAGGTTACTCTCACATCTTGATTCTTTTCTTCTTCTTCAAGAATGTTACTACATTTTATTACTATTTTATCCTTTTATTCTTGTTTGTATGTACTTGCATGAGATGCCACATACCATTTTATGATTGGTTTAATCTGTGTTCTTGTGTATCATCTGATTGGCTACAAAGCAATAAGTTATTCATTAAATATGTATATGAGTACTGTAGAAGAAAGCCTTAACTGATATTTGCAGTGGTTTATCTTTGTAAGAGTTGTAGAATGGAAATGTTTCTTAGACCAAAGTTATGTTCTCTCATGCCAGAATTGTCAGCTCTGTAATCTGAGAAGTAGGTCTGCTCTGTGAGAATCCCTGCATGTCACACCTCTAATGTGACGTACTGTGTCTGTAACTTTCCAGTCAAGCAAATGTGATGCATCCCACTCTGGTATTTTGTACAGTGAGATAAATTTGACCATAGCCTCTGTGGAAAACCTGCTGTTGTATAACTGGAGTTGCAAGCTGTGTATTAATTTCTGAAACATTCTGTGGTGACTTGATCTATATTAATTCTCAGTTTGCAAACGAAATTTCTATTAGCTTTACAGCTTTTGAGTGTCATAAAATGATGGCTTAGCCTTGTAACATGAAAATTATGTTTGCCCATGTTACTGTTCTGTCTTATTTTAGAAAAGTACATGCAGTGTAGTCTAAGATACTAATGCATAGAGTATTAGAGCAGGAATAGCCAGCTTAAACACCAGTAGCCACATTGGACACATGCTGTGAGCCACTGATACCAGAGGGTACTTCATATTTTTAGGCTACATTCTTATACCCATTGTCCTAAGAGTAAGCTTTGTTTAAATCAGTGGGACTTATGTATGACTCGTTAATAGGGCTTCCTTTTTTCTTTTGTAGAGAATGTGCTTCCTACCAGCTTCTAAAAGTCAACTGGAGCAAAAAATAAAAATAATAATACATTATCTCCATAGAATCAAATGTACTTAGTCTTATGACTTTATTTTCAAGTTTATGTAATATGTTGGTATAAAAATGCTGCATTTACTTCTCTGTTGTGCATTTGTGAATCTTGCATATGAAAACCTGATTAAATTGTCATATATATGCATAGAAAGCAATTGTTTCATTCTCTTTGTAATCTAATCAAGAGAGTTACTTGGGCATCGTGATAATTGTATTCCTAAATTGCAATGTTGTAGGTGCTTTTCCATTAAAAAGGAATAGATTTTTCCCTCCCTATGGAAGGAGATTTGAAGGGTGTGCAATTCCTTGCCAGTGGATTCCAGGAATAAACTTTATATACCACATGGTTGTTCTGGGTTTTTCGGGCTCTTTGGCCGTGTTTATATACCACACTTCGTTGATAAGCCATTGCTATGCATTGCAATCAACTCTGTCATATTATTGCTTGTCCTTTGAGTTTCTGCAGTATCTGGCCTGAGATGAGAAGTACTGTAGAAGCTCAGAAGACTATCAGGTTACAATTAGCCTTTGACAATTCTGTGTGGGTTCCATCAACGGAATTCTCATGCTAGCAGGGACGAGTGTGCAGCCTCTGAAACTATTTTCTTCATGTTGGCAGGAAAGTGGGAACTGCAGTCGGGTTTTCTTTTCCTGATGTTCCCAACATCTTAAATGTTCAATGAACATTTGAACAGTATTGAACAGTAGTAGATTTAGCATTATATGAGACAAGGGCAACTTGTAACCAGGATAGACTCCCCAAATATTGGGCTAAAGCACCTCCTGTCCTGGTCTACACGCCATCCTTAGTATGATGCCTTCAGTCTAGCCCCATGAACTTCAGTAACCTCTCTTAGAAGATATTGGAGAATGAAAATAGCTCTTGCTTGAGATGATTTGTTATATTCATATCCTGAATGAATACCAAGCGACTTGGCCAGGATAGGCTAGAATTCTCACTGCTGCTAATTTAAACAGATGGTACTGGCATAACCTTAACTTGTGCAAACAAAAATTTCAGTGATGTAAAGAAGCATTTACACAAGACAGAGTCAATATAGGCAAGTCTGTTTGTGTTTGTGCGATGGAAACCCTGTCCAATCTGCTTAGTAACATGGAAAACAAGGTTGGGTGGTGCATGTGGCCAGCCTATCTGGAATACCCCAAAGGAGGAAGGGAGCTGGTGGGCTGCAGGGAGAGAGAACAAAAAGTGTAACAGATGAAGAAGGGTGTGTTTTGGGTGGTTGGGTTATAACTGGGGAAAAAACTCAAGCTTAGATCTTCCCTAAGTTCTTGTTACTTTGTAATAAAGAGAATATAATTTTTCATCCTTTAACCACTTGGGTCTAGTGTGGTTAATGGCTGGGGTCAAGCCCTTCAATGGAAAGTTATTTTAAAAAGTGACAAGCCTGGGTTGGGGTGGTTCATCGTTTGTAACAAAATATGCTCTGAGAGTTAAACCCAAGAAGTATCTCTGAATGCCTCAGAAAATGTTGAACCAGTGTTCTTGCATAAAGTGACATGCTATGGAGTAGTTGGGGAAGAGTTAAAACCCACCTGAGGTCATCATTTTTATTATCCCTGAGTTCTCTTCCTCAGGTAGTGAAGTGGGATATGAAACTCAGATGCTTGGATAGCATCACTTCCAAATCCTTGTAATGAAAATGTTTGTTATTCCAAATGTATATTGGCTGTTATCTTGGAATAGAGTGCAGAATCATAGAACTGGGCTTTCTCACCTTCCTTTCCCTTCATGTCCCTCAAAAATCTGGTCCTGGGATTTGGGATATCCTTGGCATGGTATGGGATATGTATGCTAAATAGCTCATTCAGATTCACAGTATCAACATCTGAGCTTTGAATAGTAGAATTATAGAACTGTAGAGCCAGAAAGGACCTCATCAAAATCAGGACATCCACAGGAAAGCTTTCTTTGACAGATGGGCATCCAGCCTACGATTAAAAATCTCCAGTGAAGAAGAGTCCATCACCTTCTGGGGTAGTTCATTCCATCGCCAAACATCTCTTACTGTCAGGAAAATCTTACCCCTTGGAGCCACAGAAAACAAGGTTGCTCTATCTTCCATGTGACAGCCCTTCAAATATTTGAATATGGGCATTGCACTAGTTCTTAAGTCTTCTCCAAAAGTCTGAACTTTCCCATATCCATCCACAGTTCTTTGCAGGACTCAGCTTCCACTTCTTTTACCATTTTGTTCACCCTCCTCTGGACATGTTCCAGCTTCTTGGTATCCTCCTTAAGTTTGATGCTTGAAACTAGACAGAACATTCCAAGTGATAAACAATATAAAGGAATAAAAAAATCTTCCAAAACTTAAACTTCTTGATAGCTCATTTGTTTAGATATCTGGCTGTGGAACCAGAGATTGAGAATCCAGTTCCCCATTTTCCTTCTTGATAGGGGGCTGGACTCAGTGATCCATAGGGTCCCTACAAGCTATGCAGTTCTAGGATTATATTATTAAATAGTATAAACAATATAGTACGTATTGGTGTGTGTATACATTTGATATACAGTATACAGGTATATCAAAACCAGACTTGCCTTGTTGAGCAGATGTTCTAAACATGCTGACAGAGGCTCCTAAGTAGTTGTCTGACAGAACAGTTTAAGGCAAGACATATTTGCCTTTTAGAAACCTCCCTGTTTCTTTTGAGTATCAGTCTTTATCAAGTTACAGTGGTGCCTCGCTTGATGACGATAATCCGTTCCAGCAAAATCGCTATAGAACGAAATCGTCGTCAAGCAAAAGTAAAAAGCCCATTGAAATGCATTGAAAACCGTTCAGTGCATTGCACCATCCAGCGAAGAGCCTACATAGGACGGCCATTTTCTGGTGCCTGTATAGTGAGCAATCCGTCCTTAACACAGTGGGGAGCCATTTTGCACAGCAGGGAGCCATTTTGGGAGCCGCCGATCTGCTGTTTTTAGATCATCGTTTAGCGAAAAATCGGTTCCCGAAGCAGGAAACCGATTGTCGGCAAGTGATGCATTGCACCATCCAGCGAAGAGCCTACATAGGACGGCCATTTTCTGGTGCCTGTATAGTGAGCAATCCGTCCTTAACACAGTGGGGAGCCATTTTGCACAGCAGGGAGCCATTTTGGGAGCCGCCGATCAGCTGTTTTTAGATCATCGTTTAGCGAAAAATCGGTTCCCGAAGCAGGAAACCGATTGTCGGCAAGCGAATTTTCCCCATTTAAACGTAGTTTTGCAATCGCAAAAACCTCATCATTAAGCGGATTGTCATGGAGCAGGTTAATCGTTAAGCGGGGCACCATTGTATTCCTTTTTGGTCAATAGTAAAGCTAGTCTGGAACTTCTTAAAACTACAGCTACTCTAGATATAGACACAAGTGTTATTTGCACCCACTCACTTTTATTTTGGAATTTAATTTTTTGGGGAATTAAAAAAATAATTTTGATTTGTAGATAACTATTCTTTTCTAAGTATCAGAAATAATTATCTATTATTATCATTATTATTACTGATTGGTTCTTTGAGAAAAGAGGCTGTTTTTGTGACATGGAAGTTAGAAATGCTTAAACTCTGTTTTTTTCTTTCAGTGGGACCTTGTCTGTGACAATGACTGGAAAACACCATTAACTACCTCTATGTTTTTTTTGGGTGTGCTGTTTGGATCCTTTTTATCTGGACAACTCTCAGACAAGTAAAGTGCATACATGAAATTTCTGTTTGTTTATATATATATATATAGGTCTTATAGTTCATTAAACTGTAATTTAATTTGGCTTGCAGTAGATTAACTTTTCAACTGTGAGGAATATGTGGTCTCTAATTTGGTAACATTAATGTTTCTGTTGTGACTGCAACTTTTAAGGAAGAATGAGAATGAAACAGATTTTCTGTGGTTACAGAATATATGTAGCAATTGCTTCAAAATACCAAATCGTTCTGATGTTGACAGTGCAGTGCATTGTTGGGGGCACAATACAGTGGTGCCTCGTAAGACAATTGCCTCGCGGGGCGAAAAACCCAGAAGACGATTAGTTTTCACGATCCCTATGGTGCTTCGCAAGACGGTTTTTTCTATGACCATGCTTCGCAAGACTTTTTTTCCCCCTGAGACCGATGCTTCACAAGACTAATAAATTCCATTTGTCTTGCAAGGTTCCCATAGGAACGATGATTTTTGCAGAACAAATTAAAATCGTCTTGCGAGGCACCACTGTACTTGTCTCTTCCATATTCTGTCTGGTTAGAAAATATGCTGGAAAGTTAGGTTTTCTTTTTTGGTTGTGTTTGCTTCATTGCTTTTGTTCCTTGCATGTGTTTACCACAGTGATGCATGATGAACAGTTTATCCATCAAGCATGAATGTTTTTTCCTTGGGTGCCTGCTAGCCACTTAAAAAAAATCTAAAACAGCAACAGTCAAAGTGAGTTTCAGCTGCTTCTCTTTGACAAGACAAAAATAAAAACAAGAAATGAAAAACAAAACCAAAACCACAAAACAAAAAGCTAACAGAAGTATTGTGGCACTTTGAAAACTTACTCTTATATTTCAGTGTGAACTTTTGTGGATGCATCCAGTGGTAGCAGGATAGCAGCAGGAGCTAGCTGGAGATGCAGCGGGCCCCCTTCCCCTGGCTGAGCCCAGTGGGAAGTAGGCGAGGAGAAGCTGGAGGAATGTGGGGAAAGGAAGGATGATGACAGAGGACGAGGATGCCTCCGGGGCACTCCTACTAGGAATGGAGGGAAGAGGAGGAGGGGGCACGGGTCTGTGGGTCAGGGGGCACAATACTTGTTCCGGGTGCTGGCAACTACACCACTGAATGCATCCACAAAGAATGTCTAAAGAAGTGGAAGCATTCATGAAAGCCGACACTGAAATATAGGAGTCTTTAAGGTGCCACAACATTTCATTGGTTATTTTCTTGTTTTAGATTTGTCTGGATTTATTTTTAAAATACAGTCTCACGTAGCATAAAGCTAAAACCTTTTGTGGTAGGTTATGCTGAGAGACAGTGACTTGGTGAAATCAGCCTGTTAATGGCCTTAACCTTAGGCTTCTTTTCTGTAACCATCTGTGAAGTCACACAAATGGATCTTGTGCCTGCACAGAGCCTCATCTGGAATCTCTTAGATATGAGTTGGCAAGAACCCTGCCCTTCCTCCTATTATTGCATGTTCAGGCATGGTCCAGCAACTTCCCTTCAGTTCCTTTTTATTCCACCATGCTAGCAATAGCAAAAGGAATGTCCTGGAACATTTTTGTTATTTATTAGCGGTTTCCTCTATATTAATTATTTTTCTTTTACTATTTTTGTTTGTCTTTATTAACAAAACAAACTGAAAGGTCTAGAGTTTAGGGCTTAATTTCTTTTGTTTGTGGTTTCTTTGGCCCTTTTCAAAAAGCATGTTGCCAGTGAGGCAAAAGTTACTCCTCAGAAGGACACAATGTGCTTATTTTGCCTCAGCAGGGAGTGGTTTTCTGGAACATTTTCACCATCTGCAGAGGCTTAACAGTGGTCATCCTCTGAACCAAAGAATCAAAACGGTTTCTTTGAGAAAAGTCTCGTCTGCCTGCAGATAGGGCGGCACAAAAAGAACACATTGGTTTTTCAACCATGTGTAGGTCTTAGTCAAAGGCAGTAACTATGGATGCACTGAATTCTGTGGTCCCTATTCAGAAGACTACTTTTTTTGGTTTTGGTTACTTCATCCGTATAGTTGATGGCCTCAGTGTTGATGTTTTGATATCAGTGCTAACTGTGAAAGGCCTGTTGCCCTCTAAATGCAAGAGATCTAGTGCCAACACTAAAGAATAGCAGAAACCAAAGAACAGAAGAAGAAAGAAGGGGGGGCGGGGAAGTATTCATTGAAGTTGAACTTTCTACTTGCTCCATCTTGACTCAACACTTTTCTCTGACACAGCTCCACATCTCTTTTGTTCCACCCTAAGAAGCACCAGTGATGTTAGCTTCATAGTTGCTTGCACTTTTGACTCAAGACTCATCCCAGACTTTAATTTCAATAATTGGGTCAGAAGAGGGACATACGTCACCTGCTGATGAGTTGGTCTTGCATATCTTCCTATTCTGAGGATGAACATCACAGTTCATCATGTACAGTACTTCCATTTCCCCTCCTTGGCACCAAAGAGATACTCATCAATTATCAAACCTGAGAAGAAAATTCGTGAAGATCTGAGCACTAGGAGGTTCCAACTCAGTACCATCAAAGACAATCCCAGTCACAGTCTCCTCATGAGCATTATTTCTGTCTCCTCATGTTCGTGAAGATCTGAGCACTAGGAGGTTCCAACTCAGTACCATCAAGGACAATCCCAGTCACAGTCTCCTCACGAGCATTATTTCTGTCTCCTCATAAACATTATTTCAGGCCACTGTAGTTTGATCCACTGTTTGATTGATTGATTGATTGATTGATTGATTGATTGATTGATTGATTGATTGATTGATTGATTGATTGATTGATTGATTGATTGATTGATTGATTGATTGATTGATATCCCGCCTATATGGACGAATAGACCATTCTAGGCGGCTTACAGTATAAAATTTCAGGCCACTGTAGTTTGATCCACCATACTATGGGAGGTATGCAGATTCTTCTCATGTTCAGAACAGCTCTTTAACACCACTTCATCTGCCATTCGGGTCAGATATTTCCAGTCCCACAAAGTAGCTGTGGCTTAAGCCATCTAACAATAGCTCCCATTTCCTGTGGAATAGATAAACTTTGTAAGTTTTAAGAATAAGATACAGCATTCATGTTTCACCAACCAGTCTCAAACTCCATCATTGTTGAAGCAATCCAAACTAAAGGAAAAGAAAAATAACATTCAGCTTCTGCCAATAAGGGAGATAGAAAATCAACTGCTCATATTCTCTGTGACACAGACATATGGCTGTAGCACAATATCTGCAATTACCAAGCTGCCAAACGTATCACCAGTTCACCTGGGAAGAGTTACAACCTCTTCTTGCTCTGTCTCAGAAGACATAGAACCATGGTCCTTTTATTCCAGTGCAACACATGTATGTCATCATCCCAATGCATTCACTTCACTAGGCATGTGGCAGATTGCATATCAAAGGTAATGTCACCTACCATAGCTTTGCAGTATCATTTGTGGCTAAGATCCAGAGGTATGACACGAAGACACAGATCGAAGACATACCTTTTGATGGTGATGGCCCCTTTCATGCTTGCACAGGCTGAGCAACAGACCACATAAAACATACACAACTACCAAGAAAATGGGAATTGATGGAAAGCAGCAGCAGTCAAAACCACTGAAGTCTGGTTGGTAGTAAACCTCTTTGTATGCCAAATCTAAATCCCCTTGCAGACAGTCCCACTTGTTGAGTCACTCTTCAACCCCCATACCAGAAACAGCAGTGTTGACTAAGTATCAATTTTCAAAAATCCTCCAGTTTATGAATGTGATATATTGTGCTTCTGTGTCCACAATTCAGAACACCAGGAAATAGACTGAAATGGCAAAATATAGTAGCCAAATTGCCAACAGGAAAAAAGAATGCCAAGCTTTACATAACAAAGGACAGTGAATATTGACAAAACCAATGGCAGCAGTCAAGATGGTCTATAGCAGTGATGGCGAACCTATGGCATGCGGAGCTCTTTCTTCTGGCATGCTAGCCATTGGTCGCTACTCCACCCACCCACCCCTGTGCAGCCAAACCTCATGAGGTGGCTGCACCCAGATTTCTCCCTTTCACCACCACTTCCGGGCCCTCCAGGTCTGTCACCATGATTCCCCCTTAAACTTCCGGTTCCGGGTCCATCGCTGTGATTCCCCCTTTAACTTCTGGTTCCGGTCCGTCACCATGATTCCCCCTTAAACTTCTGGTTCCGGATCCTCCGGGTCCGTTGCCAAGACCCCCTTAAACTTCCCGTTTCGGGTCCTCTGGGTCCGTCGCCATGATTCCCCCTTAAACCGCCACTTCTGGGTCTGTCGCTGCTGCTATCGCGGCGGTGGCACACCACCCGCTGTCCCCCCCCCCATTTTGGGCACGTGAGCCCAAACAGGTTCACCACCACTGCTCTATACAATACCCACTTGTTTTTACTCCCATTCACAAAGTAGGACCAAACTGACCATTTTTCATCAGATAACCACATCTCCCCTAAAGACAAAGCAATTGTCATTGCTATTTTTCAGCAAGTTTGAATGAGCAGAAGAGAGTATCCTTTAGACCTAATTGGGTCCTTATTGAAAAGTCATAAATTCAGAATGCCCCAGACCTAGAGCTGATTTTCCTCTTGAAAACTAGTATCAGGATCCTGGTCTCAAAAATCCTGAGAGAATGTGTAGTGAAAGCATCCAGGACTGGGACAAACACAACCGCTCTGTGCTTTTGTAATGCAGAAATACTTTGAATATGAAAAAGGTTCCATCAGAACCCTTCGAAGATTCTGAATGAGGTTCTGCAGAGGCAAAAGGCTTACTTATTCACAGATGACCACCTGAAGATCCATAGTAACAAGCTGTCTGTCCTTCCTACATATAACCCAACACTCTATTTTTTAATACCTCTATACTCTTACACTTTGTTTTTAATGTGCCATCATGTTTATTATAGACTTTAGGCCTACAGGAAGTGACCATGTCTGTTTTATTTGTCGTCAAAGAGTGTGGTTGACAAAAATCCTAGACCCTTTCCTTGTCTCTCAGGAGCACAAAAATAGGGGTAGGTTGAGGACTGTGCTGGCCAGTAAAATTCCTTGATAAAAGGGACCGGTGGGCAGATGAAAGCCTTGATGAAACTTGGAGTGGCTGAAAGCAAACAAGTGGCATGTCACTCCTCGTTTCTCTATAGCACAGCAAAGCAAACTCTACAGAATTCTAATGCTTCCAGGGCCATTATTGGAATTGGGAAATCTGCATACATTTTCTTCAGCCCCGTTCTTCCATTTCTCATGGCTCAATTTAAAACACTCGAGCTCTGAGCTTACATTATGTACACTAAACAAGGCTCACTTCTTTCCCAGTTACTCCCTTCTTCTTTCCGTTCCTTTCATTATAGAACCAGAGCATTGTGTACTTGGGACTGAAGGGAGTAAAGGCAGGTTTTTATGGTCCTCCTGTAAATGTGACCTGTCCCACCCTCTGGGGCCAACCAAAGACACTGTTGAAGAAGTCCTGTGCTGTGTCTGAAGAATACTAGGCATGCAGCACAGGTCGCCAGAGAGTTAGTTTTGCAACCAATCAAGGAAACTACAGGTGTGAGGAAAACAGTAATCTTGTGTTTCTGAATTTACCCTTTTCTCACTTTCTTTAGCTGAATGTAGTGCTATTGTTATTATGAACAGCCATTTAATCTATGTGGAAATAAATAATAGTGAGACAAAACAAGGATGGAAAATGTTGTGCTGGAAATTGGACCAGAAACAAAAGGAGCCCTGTGAAAACTAATCCCCACAATATTAAACCCACAAATATGGGTCATGGATTCTTCCCGTTGAAGAAGTGGGGGATACTTGATTATGGTCTCTTCTTTCCATATCTAAAGTAGATATGTTGTTAGATGTATCTGAAAGTGTAACTTTTCTCTGTGTGGAAAACATTTATTGGTGCATATTTTGTGTTTTAGTATTAAATTGTTCAATACCACCTTATCTGCTTGTCTGTCTTTGTCTCATGGTAGGTTTGGTCGAAAAAATATTCTGTTTATAACCATGGGAGTCCAGACTGGTTTTGGCTTCCTCCAGGTCTTCTCAACAAGCTGGGAAATGTTTTCCGTTCTCTTTCTCATAGTTGGAATGGGACAAATCTCTAACTATGTAGCAGCATTTGTACTTGGTAAGTGACTGTATTAAGTACAAGTGATCATCTTGATGCCGCTATTTGCTTTTTTATGGAGTGGAGCTTGCTTTATGTTCACTCCAGATAGGATCACCAACACGGCTATGCAGAACATCACTTAAAATTTTACAAATAATTTCCTCTAATGAAAGTAATGTGAAAGTATACTTACCATGCATGTTCCATTGTTATGTTTGCATTCTACTTGTATTTTATATAGAAAGCTGAAATATCCTTTTTAACATGGTTATATGCTAAGGCCAACAATTGCATTTGTCATACATGCTAGGATCACCATAGGATGTGTACGGCTCAAGAGTACTCTAAATTCTTCCATGGCCTTTATTAGAATTGGGAATTCTGCATACTCTTTCTTCGTCCCTTTTCTGCCCTTTCTCTTTGCTCTGTTTAAAGCATTCAAGCTCTGAGCTTGAACCATGTACACTAAACAAGGCTCAAAACAAGGATGGCTTTGGAATAAGCACAGACTTCCCAACAGTCTCCCTAATAGTCCAGCATATGCACAAAAAGGGTTGGAGAAGACAGGATCTACTGAGCCTGTAAATGTGATTGATATATGCAGTGTGGCCTAGGGTTACCGTCTTCCACAAAGATTGTTTACATTCCAGTTGAACTATATGTGATTTAAACCAATTAACAGCTGTACAAAACATGATGTACAATATGTATGAAAGTATTTATGACATTTTTATTATAGCAGAAGTACCCAACTTTGTATGAGTTGTCATATCCCATAATTTAGTACATCATAGGCTCAAAGCAAAATTACCCAGCTGTTGGAGTTGGACTCATTGTGCCCATTTTATCTGAGTAAAGCCACAACCACAGACCTCCTAAGTATGTCTGCTCTCATGGTGCACTCTTACACTGTGGCAGACAGCTCTCTCAAAAGACTATATCAGTAGAGGAGGGGACAGTCTTATAATGTCTGTCTCTTGGACTGTTTCTCCCAAGTATTGAAAAAATATGCTGACTTCAAGCCTCTTCACTGGTTAGGGAAGTCTGTTAACTAGTGCCTGAAAACGCAAGGATATACCAAAATGAATTAAAATTCCTAAAATCTCATACTTCCTATGGACATATCCTTAAGGTTCCCTTAGTACTTCAGAAGTTTGTTTTCTGATCTTAGAACTGTGTTTTTTATAGAATTTTTGAGAGAGAAAAATATATGTTCTTTATTGTAAATAGCCAAGATATAATGGCAACACCAGTGGAGCAGTATAGAATTGGAAATAAATTAAAAAAATAAATATTACTATTTTTGTTGTGTGTTTTTGGGTTGTTTGGCCATGCTCTGGAGGTTTTTCTTCCTAACGTTTTTCCAGTCTCTATGGCTGGCATCTTCAGAGGACAGGAGATAGAATTCTGTCTGTGTTCTGGTGTAGTGTGTAGAAGTGTTGAGTATTTGTAGCTGTAGGATCACGGTTTTCAGGAGACTGGGTGTTTCCTGTGATCAGGGTGTGTGTTTTTTATGGGTGTTTCAAAGGGGTCACGGACTGCATGGGGAAACTTTTGAGAAAACACAACCTACAAACACTATTCAGGCCCACCACAAAAATACAACAAATGTTATGGTCAGCAAAGGACAAAAAGGATCCCCTCACCACTGCAGCAGTATACTGGATACCTTGCAGTTGTGGCCAGGTATATATTGGGACCACATAATGTAGCATCCAGACCAGAATCGAGGAGCATGAGAGACACTGAGACTCAAACAACTGAAAAATTGGTTGTAGCTGAACACATCCTGAAACAAGCTGGACATGAAATCCTAGTTCAAGACATAGAAGTACTGGACAACACCACCAATCATTATGTTAGACTATACAGGGAAGCCATTGAAATCCACAAACACCAGGACAGTTTCAACAAAAAAGAAGAAAGTCTAAAAATCAACAAAGCGTGGCTCCCCCCCACTGAAAATGCAGCCTGCAAAAAGGTCAACAAACTCTACCCAGCCACAAGAACTGGTGATCACTGCACACAAAAGACTAGCTAACAACAACCATCAATCACAATGACAGATCATCTCCCCCCTTATCACAACAAAACACCCATAACAAAAAGCACCCTGATCACAGGAAACTCCCAATCTCCTGAAAAGAACAAAACTCTGATCCCACAGCTACAAATACTCAACAATCCCACACACTACACAAGAACACAGACAGAATTCTATCTCCTGTCCTCTGAAGATGCTGGCCACAGAGACTGGCAAAATGTTAGAAAGAAAAACCTCCAGAGCACGTCTGAACAGCCTGAAAAGCCCGCAACAATCATCGGCTTCCAGCCATGAAAGCCTTCAAGAAGAACACATATATTAATATTCCCCCCCCGAAACATGTCACTCATTTTCTAATCATATCTGATTTGCTTTGAACTGTGCAAAGTTAATTTATTATTCACAATTATTAGCTCTAATTTTTTTCTTTATCAGTTAATCACTTTATTGGATGGTCATAACCGAGTTTTCCAGTATCCCATGAGAAGACTTGGCTGCCGTTATGAATTATGTTCACATATGCCCCATCCTCCTACCTCAAAGAATTATTTATTATTATAGGGACCAAGAGATTATTTAGCACTAAGAAATCACCATTGCTGTCAAAGACTGTAAAGCCCTTGTCCTAACAATTTCACTCAAGTATAAAAACCTTCAATCTTCCCGTTAATGTAGGATCAGGTATAGAAATGAATAACTCTTATATTCATATCTAGAGGGAGGATTTTGGTTACATTTTACATTTTCTCTATAACCTACACTTGAACCCATAAGCAAGTTCAAACATGTTTATGAGTAATCTGATGTTTCTCACCAGATTACTTATAAACATGTTCAAATTCACCCATAAGCTCAACCATAGGTTCCAGAAAAACTATGACATGTCATAGAAATCCTTCCCCTATTGCTAATAATATGGGAAGTGGTGTGTGTGTGTGTTTAAATCTGAAAGAGTCATATAGTTGGTGAAACAACTACGTTTCTAAAAGTTGAAGTGCTAATTTACATTTATTTGTTTTGAACAGGCACAGAAATTCTTGGCAAATCAGTCCGCATTATATACTGCACGTTAGGCGTTTGCCTATTTTATGCGTTTGGCTACATGTTGCTGCCCCTGTCTGCTTACTTCATAAGAGACTGGCGGGAACTGCTACTGACCCTTTCTTTGCCTGGGTTGCTGTACATTCCACTGTGGTGGTGAGTGTACCTTATAATAAAGGTGTTTACATTTTGACAGCCGTGCCAAAAGTATTACCCGCTAATGCCCTTGGCAAAGGAACTGCAGATGGCTTAATGAGGATTGTAACTCCTGCTCACAATTATTAGCTCTGATTTTTTTTCTTTATCAGTTAATCACTGATAAAGAAGAATATTTTACACCAGGAATGGGTGCCTTCCAGAGGAAGAGGACCATACACTGGATCTTGGAAGGGTACCTCTTCTTATACAACCTCTGTCGTCCGAACATTTTCTGACAGTAATTGGTGATCTTCCCCATAAAGCTCTCTTATACCCTCTAGTGGCAAAAAAAAGATTGTTTTAAACATTGAAGGTAGAAGAAGCAAGGGCACCGGGACCTATCAAAACATGACCGGTTTGCCTCCCATGCCCCCCAGAGGCACAGGCAGGTTTTCTGGGTTAAGGACTAGAGATGGATTCAGACCAAACTATGAAATGGAAAAAAAACGAAAAATGAACTGGGTTGATTTGCTGTTTGGTTTGTGGTGCAGGTGTGCAACCTGTTTTGCTGAAACAAAATAAAGCACTGAATTTTTTTTCTGCTCAGCACCTTGTTTTGCTTCGGCAAAAGAGATTCTCTCGCCCCCCCCCCTTCCTGTTGCCCTGTCGCCTCCTGTCCTGGTCCCTGCTGCCTCCTTCTCTTCCTCTGTCGCCGTCTCCAGAGACAGCAGCCTGGCTTCCCTTCCTCCTCCTTTGCAAAATGCAGTTTAAAAAAAATTTAGAAGAAAAGTGTCTATATAATCACAAGTCAGTTATTTTGTTCCCCTGTGGATATCGGCTACAATCCTGCACTTCAGTTAAATACCGAAGACTCAATGAATTTCCCTAAACAAACAAAATGCTATTCCACAAGGTGGTGCTACCGTGCCCTTGTAAAAATAGTGGAGCATG